CTAGAGCTTACTTGCTCCCTGAGCCATCTAGAAGGAAAGTGATGAAAGCCCCTGCTTGAAGTGTACCAAGTCAGGGGCCTCAGCAACAGATGCTGGTAAAGTGTTCCAGGTTATGATAGTCCTGGGGAAGAAACTGAACTTATAGATGTTGGTTCTGCACTGATGATGCTGGAATCTGTAGGAATGGGTGGATCTGGTTCGACTTGATGATGGAGTGACATACTGAGATAGCGGGATATCTACCAGGCCTTTCCATGCCTTATAAAACATGGCGAGCTGTGCCTTGGTCCTACGGCTCTCTAAGGATTCCCACTGGAGACTGTCTAGCATGTCTGTAACACTGCTGGTATTCCTGTATCTATTTGTGACGTACCTAGCAGTTCTCCTCTGGACCATTTCAAGTCGGTGGATGTGATCCTTTGTGTGGGGATTCCATACTGAGGCACAGTACTCCAATGTGGGCCGAACTAGTGCCATATATGCCTCTGTCTTGGTCTTCTCATTGGTGATATTGAGGTTCCTACGTAAGAAGCCAAGAGTAGAGTTCGCCTTCTTAACTGTCTTATCAATATGGACCCTCCATGACAAGTTGGTAGTTATCCATACCCCTAAGTACTTGGTGGTCTCTACATTCTCCAACATCTGACCTTTCAGTGAGTAGCTGTAGAGATGCGGGTTGCGGGATCTGGTGAACACCATGGTGTTACACTTGTCTGGATGGAAATCCATTCCCCACGTTTTCTCCCACTCCTCTAGATGGTGTAGGTCTTGTTGGAGTTGTTCGCAGTCCTCCTGACTGTGTATCTGGCGATAAAGGACACAGTCATCAGCAAATAATCTCACATGGCTATTGACACAAGATGGCAGGTCATTGATGAAGGTGAGGAAGAGCACAGGCCCAAGCACACTCCCTTGTGGGACTCCGCTTATGACAGGTGCGGGCTTTGATGTGGCTCCTTCCACCACCACTTGCTGGGATCTCCCAGTCAAGAAAGAGCGGATCCATACATGAGTGTTACCGCGGATTCCACTGTGGTGTAGCTTCGTGAGAAGTGTCTCATGTGGGACGCGGTCAAAGGCCTTGCTAAAGTCTAATACAACCATATCATGTTGGATACCTTTGTCCCATGCTCTTGCCAGGTCATCAAATAATGTGAGTAGTTGGGTCTCACAACTCCTTCGTGCCCGGAAGCCATGCTGCACATCTGATAATATGCTGTACCTATCCATGTGGTTCATGATGTTACTGACCAATATGTGCTCTAACAGCTTGCAGCATATGCATGTTAAGGAAACTGGCCGGTAATTTGAGGCTTTGAATCTCTCACCTTTTTTGAAAATAGCTGTTACATTGGCCTTTCTCCAGTCATTTGGTACGATGCCCTCAGACAAGCATCTCCCTTTTCACACACAAAAACAAAGTTTAGTATGTCAGCATGTTACACACAAAAACAAAAAAAAAATGACTGGCAATTTGGACTCTTAAAGCAGTCCTGTATTGAACATTTTCTTGTAACATGCTGACATACTAAACTTTGTTGTTCCGGAGGCTCACGACCATAGAGCTAACCCAGTCAGTAGGCTCTTCAACAGGGGTAATGAATCCATCTGCTTCCATTTCTCTCAGTTTTTTAATGATTCGTGGCTTAATTGAAGCTGGTTGACGGCGCACTGGATGGATCACACCTTTGGCGTTAGGATCAATTTTAATGGTATGTTCCAGTAGTACGAATAAGATCGGGGAAGTCACTGAACTCTTCTAACTGTACAGAGTTGCATGCGGCAGTGTCCAGGCGTGTAATGAGACCCAATTTTTTCAGCTGTAGAACCTGTGATAACGTTTACCTTGGGAACGTTGACTATTTCGAACTTGGTGCTAATCTGTGCGTCACCAACACGACTAGCAAGCGGTAAGTCAACACAAAATTCTGGACGAATGGTGTGGTTGGTAAATGAACGCAGTATTTTATGTGATTTATGTTCATTTCCATGTAGTTCTGCTTTTGTGTACTGTGCCTTGACGATTACATTACATTTAGCTCCCGTGTCGATACGGAACTCTATTGGCAGTTCTTCAAGCGAGCAATACGCCGTTCACGTTTTCCAGTGGGGTCTTATTTTACAGATTCAAGACAAACTCCGACCGGCGTTTTAACTTTTAATATGGAACTGACAAATTTTGATACAGGTCGGTGTGCTCGGGACGGCTGTCCGATTCCGACTGATTATACAAATCAAATTGAACAGTATATATAACAATTAGAATATGACATGTGTAAAAATGACATTTGGAGATAAATAAGTAAAAAGTTTTGACACTTGAGTAAAACCTCAAAATAATTGAGGGCCAGATTACGCCCTTTTGATGTTATTTTGCCTACAGATAATTTAGCGATATCAAACGATTACACGTGTTAAAAACCAATTAGCTTGGATTAACTGAAATTTCGGTGAAATAATTTAATAAAGATCAAGAGACGTAAATTAAACAAAGAAAATAATTTGAAAAGCTCTAAAGTTTAGAAAAAATTGTTTTAAAAACATGAAACATAAGCTTAATTTCAGAAACTAGAAAAATCTTTTAGAACAATAAAATTTCATCGTGATAACCTGTCCTTTACAAAAATTTGAATTTTTCAATTAAAATTTGTACATGACAATTCTCCCATTGCCACAAAAAGTTTGTCCTCAAACTTAAAAAAGAAAATCACACGTGTATAACAGTACAAAATTAAACATATAGCTAAGTCAAAAACATTCAAAATTTAGTGTTCAGAATTTCTTTGTATATTTCAGAATTTTTAAACTGTCTATATTCCTCTCTGGCAAGTTTACTGTTTTTAGCATCTCGGTTACACACGCAGTTCTGTTTGATGGATCTTAGAACGATATTTTCCATTTCATAATTTTCCACAAGCCAGTTGTAATGGGAAACACGTTCGAAAAGTTTCTTCAAGCCCGACACGGCGTGGTTTGAGTACGTTGTATACAGTTGTATCTGCCGGTCTTTTTCACCGATGGCCTTTGACTTCTCCTGTAATTTCCATTCCAGAAGTTCGATGTCCATTTTCATTAATGCTTTAGAATACTTGAGATCTTGTATCACGCACTGAACTTCTGTTGTGAACACTGATTTTAAATTAACGCACTCTTTAAATTTTGAATCACTTAAACTTGCAAACGGAAGTACCCGGACCAAACTTTTCCTGCTGATGTAGTCTTGCAATCGTTAGGTATCTCCTTTCCTCTTTGCAACTGATTTTACAGCGCGGGATGAAGGTTCTTTGCACACTCTGCTGAAATGTCCCTCTTTTCCACATCTATGACAGCGTTTCTCCAAGGCGTTGCAGACGGAGTAATGCCGTCTGTTACATCTGCTGCAAAGCGGCGCTGAAACCTGCCATTGTGGTCGGAACTGCATGTCAGTCCAATGTTAAAGCTGGTCCTACTCGGAAACTTCGAAATTTGGGGAATACTCGCTTAGCTTCATGAGAGGTGGTGTTTACCCGAATATCTGCACCAATTAGCACAGTAATTTTGTTAAGTGCTCGATAATCTCAAGCAAACCGAAACTTACCATTCTTTTTCTTTACTAAAACCACTGGCGAGTGCCATTCTGAATTTGAAGGTTGGATTATATCATGTTTCAACATTTCTGACACTTGTTTTTCAATTTCTTTAGATGCTTGTGGGGATGTTCTGTAGAATTGAAGCCGAACAGGTTTTGAATTTGGTTTAATTTCAATTTTGTGTTTGTGAGCACTCGTCCGTCCCAATTCACTCAGATCAAGAGCAGAGTTTTCTCTGTATTTTGATAAGAATTTCAGCAAAATTTGTTTTTGATTCGAGTCTAAATCAGAATTTTCTAAATCAAACTGAATTTCATTTTGAGATTTTACTTGGGTTTCTGATTTGTCTGGATTCAAAGCACTTGCAAGTTTAGTCTCTCTCTCTAAAGACAAAATACTTTCATGATTATGTCAATCACATTAGCTACTACAAAATTGATAGGTAATTCAACATCTTCAAAAGTGGGGTTAATCACTCTAAGAAAAGCACGACTACAGTCTACCTGTACACAACATCTAGCAGCTGAAAGATTAAGAGTTTCTAAATCTTTGTGAGGTTCTAACAAAACAAGGTCACCATTTTGATGGCGAGAAATATGCACTAAAATGTTCATTTCACACCTCTGGGGAATAGTAACAGGGTATTTTGCCCTAGCATAACCATTTTCAGTGGTTATCACACAAACATTGTTCTCACCATACTGGTCAGGGATATGCAATGTATTTGACGTTGAAAACCTTAGGACTGTGTCATGAGCGCACAAAAAGTCTACACCTAAGATAAATGCATGATGAATGTAATCTACCACATGAGTTTTGGATTTGTATTCCTGGCCATTAATAAAAATTTCTAACATTATCTGGCCTAAAACTGGGAGTAATTTTCCGCTAGCACCTTTGACAGACTGAAATGTGGGAGGGAGCAACTGCTGTTTTGCATACTTAGTTTTTGATAAGAATTCTTTGTTAATAATGGTAACAGAGGCACCCGAGTCAATTAAAGCACTTGTATTACGACCACCCACCCAAATAGGGATTGTGTTTTTGGTCATGTGAGCAACTAAATTCACCTGTGGGATAGAATCTGTGTGTTGCCTATCTTCAGAATGGCTTCCAAAGACAGGCACGCACCCCTATTGTTGTGACATGTATGCATCGTGATTGTAAGATGACTGTGGGTAAGATGACTGTGATGGGTGTGTGTATTGTGAATTGTATTGAGACTGTCTTTGTGGGCAATTTTTCTTTAAATGACCTAATTCTCTACAATAAAAACACCTAATCAATGAAACATCATTAGAGACAGAATCACAAAACTTACCCTTGTTGTTGTAAGGCTGGGGTGGTCGATTGTATCCGGGCTGTGAGCCAGGGGGTGGTGGTGGTGGTTGCTGCCATTGGGTTGGTGGTTGCTGAGGCCACGGGGGTGACTGTTGATAGGCCTGTGGAGGTGGTGGTCTGTATCCTTGATGCTGCTTTGGCTTTCCAGGACGTCGGGACTGCTGAGGGGAAAACTTCCTCTGGTTGGCTCTCATGTCATCTCTAATTTCCTGTAATGCATCTAAAAGAGCAAGGTTAGTGTTCTCCTGCAGGGCAGGAGAGTTGGTCCGGCGTCTCTCGGCAACTTCTGCTCGGGCGGCCACATTTCTCAGCTCCTACAGGGATTTTGGGTCCACCTTGATTACGTCGGCTCCAATGTCTGGTTTCAGGCCATTCATAATGACAGTGATTAGCCAATCCTGGTCCACCCGTCTATCGGTAGTCATCTGAGTTACCCTATGGATGAAATCCTCCACCGACTCGGTTTGTTTTTGTTTCACATCCATCAGCTAAAGATTGTTTCTGGAGGATGGTTGGAATCGTTGATGGATGGCCTCCTTGATGGTGGAAAGAGAATGTTTTACTGCTTCATCAAGAGAAAAGAACCACGACTCAGCGGCTCCGGCTAGATAAAATGGTAGTGTCTCAATGGTCATTTTCTCTGTCAGGCGTTGCAGGTTGATGAAGGTTATGAATTTAAGCCACCACTGGATGATGGACGTCTTGCCGTCATATTTGTCTAACTTTACTTTAGGCGTTGTAGCATGAGACTGGGTTGTGGGTGGTTGTCTTGAGCTCCCCCGTCTTAGCTGATCTTGGAGGTTCTCGATCTCCTCCTCTCTGGCTTGGATCTGTCTAGACTCTCGTCGACGTATTTCCATTTCTCTAAGTTGATATTCTTCATTCTTTTCATGAAGGGCTGCGATCTCTTTCTCTCGTTCCTCTAACATCTTTCTCATCTGCTCCAACTCTGTGTTCTGGTTCTCCACTGGTGACTCGCGTCCTCCATTGGATGGGGTGGGCATCTTGGCGCTCCTTTTCCTTAAGTTGTATCTCATAAACTCCGGGTTTTGGATCTACTCCACCAGGTATCGTGTCGTGTTTTTGTACGATTTGAATAGTTGGGGAACTTGACTCGCTGGCAGTGTAGAGGACCCTTAATGACGTAATGTCCAGTCCAAATAGGTTTGGGACGATTACTCTGAAATTAGACACAGGGAAGCGCTAAGTAAAATATACTGCTTTATTCAGGTCTCCGATAAGAATTAACAATATATATAGTCACCAGTTACAACTAAAATTATATTTATACCCCCGCTCCGAAGGAGAGGGGGGTATACTGTTTTACCCTTGTGTGTCTGTCTGTCTGTCTGTGTGTCCGTCCGAAACAAATTTTCGTCAGTTTTCTCAGCAACTACTCATTATAGATGCTTGAAATTTTAACACAGTCTTCTCTGAGGCATGCCATATGGTGGGATACATTTTTGCTCAAATCCGAAGTCAACTTCCTGTTTGTCTGTGCGTCTGTCCGTTTCATACATAACAAATTTTCGTCGCAGTTTTCTCAGCAACTCCTCAACGTAGATGCTTGAAATTTTAAGACAATCTTCTCAGAGGCATGCCATATGGTGGGATACATTTTTGTTTAAATCCGATATCAACTTCCTGTTTGTCTGTCCGTTTCATACATAACAAATTTTCGTCACAGTTTTCTCAGCAACTACTCAACGTAGATGCTTGAAATTTTAACACAATCTTCTCAGAGGCATGCCATATGGTGGGATACATTTTTGTTTATGGTCAGACGCAACGTAGTTTTTACCAAATTTTTTCTATCTCCTAAAAATAGAGAGTTCCGATATTGATTCCGTAACTTTTTCCGTATTGGGTTCGATTTTTACTTTCGATTACGCCCCTTGAGAGCTCTTTCGTACGTAGAGATAATTTTAGAATATCTTTGTTTGGAATGGAGAAAATTCGCGATAAAGGAGGGCGATTTATCTCCAAAGGAAAACAAAGTAAAATAACATCGATCGAAAGTAATAGACAGAAAAATGTGACAGTTGAGGTCCCTTCAACAAATTCCCAATCTGATCCTAACGATCCGCCGCCTGATCCAAGTAAGTTATCTTGATTTGTTTATATACATGTAAGCAAATATCGTAAAATTGAGGTGTGTGTCAACAACAAAGAAGGGCTAAATAATTCGATGATTTTAGTTTCAGTAAACGTTCTTAAGCATCTAGATGCGTTTGTATTGTTTATTCTTTTATATCCTTGGTAATTCATGGTAAATTTATGACAGATGATGATTTACAAGATCCAATCCACATTTTGGAGCACAGTTATGCTTATGATCCATCAATAAACGGACACTGTGATGAGGAAGTGGTTCCAGATGAAAACGAAGACACGTCACATCTCATAGAATGGGATACAGGCAGAAGAATCCTTGAACTAGGATTTGTTGTGAATAAACTTATAGAGGGTTGTTATAAATGTAAACATTCTTTGAATTTGAGAGACATTTGTGGCGAAAAGAGATATGGACTTGGTTCCTTACTACATATCAAGTGTACTTTATGTAGCACAGTAAACTACGTTCCCACAGGAAAACGCCATTCTCGGTCGGACAATAATGGGATACGAGCATTTGACGTAAACACAAAAGTTGCACTGGGTATGTATGTAATTATTGAATATTGATTTTATATTTTATCTTCATTTGATCAATGAAGCATCTCAACATACAGTTATATTCATCATATGAATCTTGATACATATGATTATTATTACATTGCAGGGATGCTCCATGCAGGCATTGGAGAGAAAAAATTATCTATGCTCCTTAGTGTATTGAACATCCCACCACTGTCAAAGACATCTTTGAAAAAATCTGAGAGAGAAGTTGGTAGAGCAGTTGAAGATGTGGCCAAAAATAGTTGTAAAGAATTTGCTACTGCAGAGGTGGAATCATTTGGGTAATACTAATAATATTTGTAAAGGCATTTGTATTTGTTATTGCGCACACATTACAAAAGAAAATGCTGGATATAATTTTACCAATAAACTTTTACTAGGCAGATCATAAAATATTCTTGGGTTTCGGTTTATAAATATGGTATGAGAACTATACTTTTCAGAAATGCATGCAACTGATATATATTCATTATAATGTGTAATAAGTATATGCTTGGTAAATTTACATGCAAAAATTGTTGTGCATTTATTTTTTTCATTTTTTCAATTTATAATTTGAAATATTTTTCTCATTTCAGTAATGATGACCTTTCAGTGTCTTTTGACGGAGGATGGCAGAAAAGAGGATCAGGGCGATCTTATTCAAGTTTGTCAGGTTTGGAAAATTACTGTTCTGCAGTTACATAAGAATTTTCAATATAATGTATATGTAAATCAAAATGACTTGAATAAAAGGTGTATAAAAACCCAAGTATTATATATTTACGTATTGTTCTTCAGCAAGACCATGATCAAAATTGCATAAAATTGTTTACATTTTAGGACATGCTGCCATGATTGGAAAGGAGACAGGAAAATGCATTGCATATGCAACAAGAAACAAGTTCTGCAGAGTGTGTGAGAGGGCGGAGAGGACAAAAAAAGATATCCCTGAACATGACTGCAGAAAGAATTGGTCGGGCAGTTCTAAGGCAATGGAACCAGACATGTGTATAGGTAAAATATTTGTACATTGACAGTTTTTTGTGTAGTCTGATATGTTTTTTTATTGATAAAATATCAAATTGAATGTAACAGTACAGACAAGTTTTACTCATGATTGTATGAATCAGTGAACATCATTTTGAATCTTTATTATTCATGATAGAATTTTATCATGACAGGTATGATGAAGGATCTGCAAGATAGCAACATTCACATTGGCAGCATCATTATGGATAACGATTCAACAACCGTTGCGAGAGCTAGAGCTGAAGTAAATCCTGCACTAAAGAAGCAATGTGATAGAAATCATACTCTGAAACAATTTACGAATAAGCTATACGAGTTGAAGAAAAGTAAGAACTACAAAGAACTGAATAGTAAGACAATTCAACACCTGTCAAAATGTTTCAAATACTGCATTTCTCAAAATGAAAATGATCCATCAGGTATGAAGAAGAACTTGGAGGCAATTGGAAGACACGTTTATGGTGATCACACTTTCTGTGAATCCTGGTGTAAATATTTAGCATCGCCACTAACATATAAACCTATTCAGTTGCCATACCATAGGTATCTCAATAACCTAGATCTAAAGAGTGACTTGACATCTCTTCTTAGCTTGTACATATCACAGGCAGATAAGCTAGTAGACCTGGGCAGTACGCAACCAAATGAGAGCCTGAACAACACCATCGCAAGCAAGACTCCAAAGCAGAACTTCTACTCCGGATCAGAGAGCAATGACTTCCGTGTGGCTGCTGCAATTGCCCAGAAAAATTTGGGCCATCAGTATGTTACAGAGGTATAAAACTTCATACATGTATATTATTTCCTTTATTATTTTATACATGCAGTTGTATAGTTTCAAATCCGTTATATTTCATTGAATTCCATTGTAGGTAAATGAGCGCTTGCTGTTATCACCCGGTGAAATTACCTCGTCAAATGCCAGAAAAGTAGACCTGAAAAGGAAGAAAACTAAAGAAACAGAGGACACAAGAAAAAAAGGGCACAGAAAAAGATGGACCAGCATAGATCGCAGGAGTCAGCAGAAGTGAGGGAAGGAAGAACGTATGAACCGGAGACGGACATGAACAACAACAATGATCCAAACAGCATCAAGGAAATACCCCCACCTCTCAGCAAACCTGTACCTACTCCTATTACTGAGGGCCGATACACATTTGTGCATTTTGACTTAGAAACTACTGGTTTAGGTAACAATCAGTTGTATAAATATCACTCTAATTGAAATATCTGTCATTTATTTTATTACATGTATTCTCAAAGATTGCATTGTCTTTTGCAGGTGACGATTGTGAAATAACACAGATTGGGGCCTCCGTCAATGATGATGTGTTTTGTCAGTATGTTTTGCCACTGACTCAACCAATTTCTGCATCTGCTACTGCTGTGTCTGGTATTGCTACACAGAATGGTTGTATGTACAAAAATGGACATGTAGTTCCGTGTATGAAGACACCAGATGCTGTGAAAAACTTTATGGACTGGCTCCAAAGATTTGGGAAAGTATTGCTTGTAGCTCATAATGCCAAGTTTGATTCAAGCGTTTTGGTGCGTGTGATGAGCTGTATCGGTATAAGTGCCTCAGAACATATAAGTGGCTTTGTGGACACATTACCTCTTTTTAGAGAACTTTACCCTGGCCGCAAGAGTTATAAACAAGTGGATTTGTTGAAGGACTTGTGTACGACACATTATGATGCTCATGATGCCAAATCTGATGCCTTGGCCTTACAAACTCTTTTATTGTCTTTGTCGGTGTCAAGTCATACCATGCTGAAGCATAGTTTTTCTACAGACTTTGTTGTAGATAATTTGAATTTTTCTATGATGAAAAAGAGAAACATGTTATCATTGCAAAATCTCATTGATAATAAGATCTTATCAAAATTTACTGTCAACAAAATTGCTGAAACAGGTCTTCATTTTCAGCACCTGTTATTAGCTTACCAGAGAGACCAAGAAAATGGGGTAAGATCATTGCTGTCTGAGAAAACTGGAGGAAAGCCAAGAGTTACAGGAAATTCAAAAATTATTCTGTCTGTTCAGAATCATTTCATAAACATGAAAACATAAATTTATGTACAACTTACAGTGCGTTCTGTTGTATGTATGGGTGTATTGCATTTTCTTTCTTCAAAGAGAGGTAACTCAGATATACAAATAATATGTAAATTAGATTTTTCAAAAAAATCTAAGAAAAAAGGCTGGTTCCATATGCTGAAAACTCTAGAATGTCATCATCTATTACTGAAGTACTATTATAAAAAAAATTTGGAAGAAATATCATCTAAAAGTATGTTTGAGAATTTTGGTATATTTTGCACAGGAAAATGCCAAATTTTCATCATATGTTATCTTTCCAAAACTACGGAAGCCCTGGAGGGACATTGACTTACTTGTTAAGACTTATTTGTTATAACTTTTTTGTTTTGACTTATTTGTTGTGAATGTTTCATAGCTAGTTATAACTAAGTGTAAGAAAGCTATTGAAAACCTATTGCTTGGCTTACTTTTATGATAAAAATGATATTTAGTCCTATTTTAACTGTGATTTTTGATTAACAAATTGTAGTTTAACGTCCAGTACTTGTGTGATTTCTAAAGTAAATATTCTTTTTGTTGTTATAACTTAATTCTTATTTTCTAAAAGTTATTACTTTATTCTTATATATAACTTCCAGTTTGCATGATGATTGACAAACTGACAATCACTACTATGTATTTCATTTTGTCGTTAGTAATAAATTCAAGGACTTTTTTTCTGAAACTACACGTTGTCTTCATCTTTCACGCCACTTTTTGTAAGCTAAACTTGTCATAACAAATTCAAAATAACAAGAATTCAAAGTTAATTCATAGGAACTAAGTCAAAACAAATAAGAAATAATTCAAAACACATAAGAAATAAGTCAAAACACATAAGAAATAAGTCAAAACACATAAGGAATAAGTCAATATCTCTCAAGGGCGTCCGTAATTAACAGATGAAAATTTAGTAATCACATCAGTTTTGTACGTTTAACTACAAAACTACAATTAATCGTTCTCAATAGCTTACCTTCACTTAGTTAGAAGTAACAAAAAAATCTCAAAACAAATAAGTCAAAACAAAAAAGTTATAACAAATAAGTCATAACAAGTAAGTCAATGTCCCTCCAGGGCTTCCGTACAAAACCCCTGGTAATACATTCTGATAATTTGTCTCAGAACATCTTAGTAGACCTTCATTTTAAATAAAGAATTTCCTGAAAAACTACCAACAGGTAATGTATGTTGCGTATGACCTTAAATCCGATATCAACTTCCTGTTCGTCTGTGCATCTGTCCGTTTCATATATGACAAATTCTCAGAGCAGTTTTCTCATTAGCTATTCATAGCAGATGCTTGAAATTTTATTACCGACTTTGTTGGGGCATGCCATATGGTGGGTGTAATTTTGATATGAATCTGATATCAACTTCATCTGCCTGTATTTGAACTTGTGTAAACAGTATATTAACATGATAGTGCTTATTTGCATCAGAGCGGGGGTATTACTAGTGAGCATTGGCTCACAGATTTCTTGTTCTATCTGCATAACGCATTACAAAGGTGGGTGCCCTAACTTACTTAACTCTGGTGACTAATAGAGTGATCAAACAATATAAAAATACTCACTCTATATAAAAAAAATCGAAACAAAGTCACTAAATTAAATGAGAAGTAAATGTAAACATTGGCTAAGGAAATTCGAACTGACAGCATGTAAACAAGTTTAAGTTAATATTATCAAAATAAATAACTTTAACCCAAAATAAGAAGAATTATAAAAACCATTATTTTATCTAAAACATCCCTACTACTTGATCAATCAAAGAAATACTTAAGAACTTACAATATAAAATTTACTCGCCGCATGGTTTGTTTGTTCAACATTGTGAAAAGTAAAAACCCGTTTAATAAATAGTAAAACCCAAAACCTAAACTGAACAAATTATTTCCGAACTTTGCTGGTTTGAACCAAAATAATTGAAACAAATAATAATAAACCATGTATAATGACGAATATTGACTGAGAACTAGTTTTATAAAAAAGTTTAAACAATAAAAACCGTAAAACTGAATAATCGGTTTTTGTGTTATTAATTATTTTAAATAGAATTTTACTTTGAATGAAAGCTCAAATTTCTTAAAAACAAAATCAAATACTTTAACTAACTTTACAAAACATAATAATAATTTGCAGTTACTTTTAAAAGAAAAGAAATAAATATATATATATATAAACCATTTTACCTGAAATTAGACACAGGGAAGCGCTAAGTAAAATATACTGCTTTATTCAGGTCTCCGATAAGAATGACCGAAAAAGGGTACGCTATCTAAATCGGAGACCCGGGCTTCCCTGGTCAATTTCGGCCAATCAAAATTTGGTTTCTTTGTTCTCAAATAGTTTCGTTAATTGAAATCGCTATTAAGTAGATCACGTGACCGTGGTCTCCGGACACTGACCATTATCAATTAATTTACTCTAACACGGGTAATCCCCTAACAAAGAAAAATCTACTGACACCTGAGTATATCTTGACTCTGACACTAGCTAAAAAAAGATGAAAGGAAAATTGCAAACAACGTAACACCTATCTGCAAATTTGCTTGAACCTCTGAATAACAAATTACATCATAGTACATTTTTGTGCCATTGTTACAAAACATATCTAACAGATGAAGTTTTGATAAGTAAATTGAACAGATTGAATTATTTGTCTTGAATAACACATTTTTTTTGGCAAACTGAATTGACATTAATTTATGTACGTAAATGTAAAAATTATTTTATATAAATCTGAAATCCTTAACCTCAAATAAACCATAAAATGCATGAAATACTGCTGTATTATATACAAAAAAAATAATAATACAAAAATATTATTTAAGCAAGAAAATCTACATGACTACTTTGAATCTTTCAGCTCTCTTGTTTTTTCGAGGTCTTACGTATGCTTCAAACTTGTCCAAAATTTTCTTGGGGTCATCTTCATCTCCTTGCTCCCAATCAAACGTTTTATATACCTCGCGGCCGTGTTTCCCAATCCAAATTCCTAGCCAGCCGGCTTTGTCCTTCTTGTCAGATTTGCACAGAGGTCCTTTGAAAACGAAGTCCACGTGCTGTCTGAACCGCAGAAATTCACTGTAGGTTTCTGGGTGAGACCAGTCCATGGGGGGTTGTTCGAACGGAATAGACATTGTAAATTGATTGACAGAATGCTTACTGACTTTCTAGAGTTGTTTCTTACAGACGGACGTGGCTTGGTCCGCTTTCTGACACCATGTTATGTATCCGACGAGACAGAGAACACACGTCAAAGATGGCTACTCGTTTATTACTGGCCGGAAACTCGGTATACCGAGCCCGACCTAAATACATACATACATAACAGTAAATACAAAGCTTCTTTGTTCAAGCAAATGTAACGGGCACCAGTTTATCCATGGACGTAAAGTGTACTCAGTCTGCTCCAAAGTATATAGATAAATGGTCAACCTGATCTTTAAACTTGCCTAAGTAATACTAAGGAACAGACTAAGCCCACAAACTATGTAATAGTATAAAAACTGACCATGCTTTATTTAACCCAGGTTCTGAGATTCCTAGATTATGATCATCACCTTGAAAATATGATGACAGTTTGTATTACACAAGGGACAAGGCAACTTATTTGTTATATTTTTAAGGTATTTGTATAAAAACCCCATTCTATCTGACATTAATACCGAAAAAGTTCTTATTGTAACTTAAGACGAAAATGATGAGAAAGGTACAATTAATCCATTGGGATTAATTATCTAAGCCTGCCGCAGAAAATTTAGTAGGCTTTTCTTTATCTGTCACTTTAAGATTAATGAAAACCTTTGTCTGCAACTGGTGTTTGTTTGTGAAGTTAAGGTCAAGCCTTCATAATAATTGCATTCATTGAAGGCTGACATTTTATAAATTAAAGATAAGCTTCGATATATTGTTGAAATATACTTTCTATGTTAAGTTGTCCTTTACTGCCTAATATAAATACAAGGATATTATTTACAGGTTTTTTGAATATTCAGCAATTATCTTTAAATTTTAAGAATACAGTTGCTGTTGCTTATTCTTTGTACATTATTTAATCATTCCGTAAGCTGCACCCTTATAATTCTACCCCATGGCGGAACCCTTGCTGACTGGTAAGTTTTCTAGTTCATCCTTGAACCAAAGTAACTCTAGAGGTAAGGACCTTGAACTTTAGATTTTAGACAATTTGGATCATGTCTTTAAAAAAAAAGACTGCACGAGCAGTCCGGAATTAAACCCGAAGAGCTAAGAAGAGTAAGCTTGAACCTGTCGGTTCTTGAACCTAGAGTGCCTTGCAAATGCCACTGTCACGATATATATATTAACTATATAGCTAACCAATGAAAATCATAATAATTAACTAGCTCTAAAATACATGTATTAATACGAATATCTAAAACGATTTCTAATAAGTTCAATGTACATATTTCAACCAAGGAAAAGTCAGAAAACAAAATAAATTTAGAATGACAGCCAAAATGGAGGTAAATTTAACCCGAGCATATGTGTAAACAAATAAAGCTACAAAGTTACAAATACTGGACTTCTAAAATCAGCTATGACTATCAGATGTGTTTAAAGGAAATTAAAGGCATGCACTAAATATTCTATGTAGGACAAATTACATGTACAGTAAAAACCAAAACCGTCACCCCCTCTCCCTGTCCCCTTAAAACAGAAATAAAAATTTGTGATTTTTTTGTTTTAAAGCATTAAACAAAAAGGGATAATGTTATTTTGTTCATTTGCGGAATCCTCCAACTGCACTTTCCTCGTCTCGCGGGTTGTGATCCACGATGAGGGAAAACAAAGTGGCGACTGTTGTTTTCCGACTCTCCTCCCTTGCCCTCTCCCGTTCCTCACGATGGATTCGGGGACGTGGTCTTCTGAATTTTCTAGGGTCAACGAACTTGAATAGCTTTCATTCTATATATACGAATCTTTGTCTCACTGGGTTTTCTTTTTCCTGATTCCTATGTTTTCCATACCAACCAAATTTAAAATAATTCATGTATTTAACAGAGAAAGAGAAACAACCGAAGAAAAATCAACAATCGGCATGATTTTGTAGACAGGGGAACTCCATCAGGCCTCAGGTACTGTAGGTTAGACCAAAAACCCCGGTGCTTGCAAAAGTTTACCTTTGGCAGGGATCCAGATGCAAAATTCAGGAGCTGGTTTACCTCAATAACCCCGTTGTTGTACTCTGGTGGTGATTTTTGAGAGTCCCTTCTTATGAGATGCCCAACGATTACGTGTTTCACACCTACCCAGTGAATAAGAAAGTTCGCCAAAGAAATTATTGTTCCTTACAATCTTTACGGGGGATCAAAAGAAAGGTCATTCAATCCAATTTGTAAAACGCAAATGTTAGGGGCTATGTAGAAAATATATAGTCTTCTTGATGTTGCCAAACGTTTAACCCACCATGCCCCCAGATCAACACCGGAAATTTATCAAACTTCAAATGTTTAAGTGTTTGGATTTATTAAAGTCGTTTAGAAACTAGTTTAGGAATCAGAATGTTATTAAAATTTTCAATATTTTCGAAGACATACAAAACAGATATTGAGGAACGTCTCGTCTGACCTTACGGTTGATTAAAAAGCAATTATCAACTTCTTCATCTTCATTTTAAAACTCGTGCAAAATCTCTTAGATAGAATGATCTTTATTTAGTGCCCTCTGATCACCATCGTGGTCTCCTTGACAGAAATTAATCACTGATTCAGAATTAATTTAGTGACTTCTGATTTACATCACGGTGTTCATCACAGATGTGCCAGATGTAACAGGAATGAAGATAGTGGCCTTTAATTAACATTATTGTCTTCATATCATTCTCTACTGTAGGCCTACCCATCTCAACTTCACCAAAGAAGTGCTGAGATGGAACAGACATTTTCAGACTAGAAGTACTAGTTGAGAAAAGAAGAGGGGTATTTTCTTATCACCAGTTAACGATTTATAATGTAAAGATTTATCCCAAGAAAATGTATATATACACAATACAAACTGTGAAATTATGATATATTGTCTTCACCACAATTGTCGCTCTCTCTACTGTTGAATACGGAGGTCGGGACCAGTCTGCTGGATACCAGGGACCGATAAGGAGGCGAAGTGACCACATGTTAAACCGCAAGCCTCCTCTTCAATTTTAAACAGTATAATAGTTATAAAACATAAAAGAAAGGAATGAAAATTATATGAAATATAAACTTCAAGATTAATATTATCAACAAAAGGCTATATAAATATAAAATTCTTATATGGACTGTGTTTTAATCGAACGATCCGCCTCAACCAAAAGCAAGTCGGAAGGAATGGCACAAACACCAGACAACAACGGTTTTTGTCATACTGGAGATTAATCCTTTAACTGCAAAAAATACTGGCTTACCCGATTCTTACCACAACCTTACTTGCTCTGGACCTCTAGAGAAGGTTAGCAGGTATTACGGACCTATCGTAGGAACTAACATGCCATCTAACAAAGTCAAACGATGCTGAATGGGTACGCGGTGTAGCGGGTAATTCGCGTGTCCCCTCGGCGACACTATTAACATCATGGTCTTCTTCACAGTTGTCCCGGATGTTCTAGTAATTGTAGCATATACCAAGTGACGTCTGATCATCATTGTTGTCCCCTTCACGGATGTTCCACTCTTTACTGTAGGATACCATGGACAGTACCAGTACTCCGGGTACCAGGGATCGTTAAGGAAGGCGTAGTGACAGTCGTTAAACCACAAGCCTCCTTTTCAATCTTAAAAAAAATATTATGAAACATAAAAGGCGTAAAATATTACAGTTAAAT